CAAGCTATAATGGGCCAAGCATTATAATCTATTCATCCTTTTTCATTCTATTCATTCTATTTTACGTCAACAAATATAGAAAAGATAACAGCAGCTAAAGAAATTTTTTCAAAAGCAATTCGAAAGGTTTACAAACTTTTGTCATTCTTCATTATGTCACGCATTTTTGGGATTTCTGAACAGTGAAAGATTGGTATAGCCAAGGAAGAAGACTTAAAATCCATTCAAGGATTGGATTGTCTCTACTCCTAGCCCAGCAATTTCTTTTCCAATTAGGTTAAAAGTTCCGTTATCATTAATACTATCCACCCGATGAACATAAGATTGTGATTTTCCGGAAGTGCGAGAATGTCACTTAATTTGCCTTATCTTTCTTATCTTATTATAGTAAAAAGTACTGGCCAATATTCTTCAATAACTGCATTGGCCAGAGATGGTAATGTAGCCTAGGAAGGTCTGAATGTCACTAAGTTACATCTAAGTTTGTTGTTTTCATATCAAGCAAAAATGGCAAAGTTGAAAAGTTAAATTCTGGAACAGAATGTGTTAAAAAGTGCAAACACGGGGAAATCATAAGAGCATCAGAGGACATAAGTGTGGTGTGTCATTGTAGGTGCGCAAAAGTATCAAATGTCATACAGAGCTTCCTGTCAATGCTCAACGATCGCCGAGAAAGTAAATCATCGAAGTCGTACTAAATCGTACAGTTGTATGGTATAGACAATATTGTAATCAGGATGAAGAAAAAGTAAATAAAACAAATGACAGCATCCTGGCAAAGGTTTGATGTGAGGCAATTCTGATTACTGCTTATATTCGGTAGTTTATCACTTAATAGAGATTATTTATGCTTAAATAGCGATTGATTTTTAATAATAATTCTTCAAGTCAACCATTTAATGGATTATTTACTCACTCTGTTCTCCGGAATCATCAAAAACGGAATGTGACACGTACAGTACGTCTGATTGAATTGTTGTTCAGCAATTGGGAATAATCAGTTTTAGCTATAGCTAAATTAACAAATGAGGAAGAATGAACCATCCCTGACAAATGAAATTCGTAACTTCGAACATTTCAAAATCTAAAATATATAAAAATCATTAGCATTTTAGGAATTGGTTGAATGATGGTGCAAAATTCACATTAACAGATACGTTATTTCACTAACCGATGAAAACCGTCCTCCCTTTACTTCTGATAGAAAGAAACTGAACAATCTTTGTTTCATTATTACGATATTTCCGGTCTAAGACCAAGCTTATTTATATTACAATTTTTTGGCAATAGGCAGTTAATAAGCAGTGAAAGAATCTGATACATAACTAGCGGCAAATTATAATGGCAAAGAGGGAAGCTGTCCAAGATGGGAAAGGAAGGCATAAAGCAAAACTCCATCTTTTGATATAAATAATTAGGAAAAATCAAAAAATTGGGGAGCACTAAAGTGAACAGTTTTATATTGCTAGTTGTTAAACTTTATGTCATACCTGGTCAATATCCTCTGCAATATTCTGAAATATGTTTAAGGTTCAGTGTTATAAATGTACGACCTCAGCTTGACTTAAATTTATTCAATTTAAGAAGCAAATTTAAGAAAATACAAAACTTGAGATCGTAATAATTACAAGCATTAAAAACGGACTAGCAATGATCCTTTAACTTGAACAAGACCATCAATGAATACTTACACAAGGTACTAGTGCATAAATCAATCTAGCATGAATTTTATCCGTTTATATTCTTTCATTATTTAGCTCACTGCGCGGTTAAAACAAATAGCTACAGAGTAGATAATGGTCCTTAATTTATTCAAACATTTCAACGAAGCTTTCCTCAACAGTAAAATGAACATAAAGGCGTTATGAACGAAGGATTATTTTTAGTAAGTCACTGATTGAATTTCAGCCATTTGATATCAGTTTTAATAAACTCAGATAACTTATTTAACTACTAAGATTTCACGGATAGAGCAGCCATATCAGACGCAGCTTCACAAAGAATATTGTTTATAAGCGTGATTAAACGTCTTTCCATACATGATTCAGTTTTCAACACAGTCGCTGAAACTGCTACACGTGAGGCGGCAATGGAGGAAATCCGTATTAACAAATGCGCAATATCAGCTGATATTTGCGGAAATAGTGACATCATGCGACCAAGCGATGGTACGGCTCTTGATAACAGACGTAAATTTTCATCGGTAGTCAGAGCACGTGATAATGTTGTTAAAACATCGAGTAACAGCTCCACACGAATAAATGATGATTCTATTTTGTACTGGAAAGAAGAACAAAATTAATCGATCATGGTCGTGGTTGAAGACTATAAAGATAATACACTGAAATACAATCTGCAAGATCTTCTGATGTCACTGTTACGTTAGATTTGAGCTCTACATCGACTATTATTATCAGGCTATAAAAATATATTTAATAATCGGTCCAGCTCCAAAATATGCTAATAATTCACAGTTCACATTTTAGTTTACGCAAGCATATAATCGAGACAATAGAAAGTGTCTCTTTAAGAATCTATTCACAATAAAGATTAAAAAAATTACCAAAGAAATTTGTAAGAAGACATGAGACCTACACACTTTGCACAGTTTAATTCTATAATACACAAAAATTACTCCTAATTCAAAAATTGTGCATCCTTGATAGTGATGCAAGTGCACGTTGGACATGGCTTAGCAGCAATTTTTCCGCAGAATCCTTCAGTATCAACCGTCCCTAACAACAATTCTGTCACTTACATCTTACAATCAAACTGAAATTTGGGATTTAAATTCAAATCATATGCGAAAAAAAAATATGTACCTGCTGTGCCAGCTCAGAAATAAGAACAATGGCAAACACACGCTTTGAAATATCCGCCAATGCTAAAATTTCATGCACAAACTCCAGGCAAATATGCATTGATGGTATTTCCCGTACAGCTAGAGGAATTAGTCGCAGGGGGTAACCCTAAAATTAGATGAAAATAAACTTCGAATTCCAAATTTCAAACCTCTCTGATTTAAGTTAAGCAGTGTTAACAGAAGTTGGGAAACAAAAACTTTCTTGAATAATAAGTATTCAAACAAGAACACTGAACACCATATATACTGCATGAATAAACTACCTGAAAGTGAACCAATTTAGAGAGGACGGGATCGGCAATGAACATTTGATGAATATGTGCACAGCACAGGCGATGGACAGTGATATTCTTGAAACGACCACATATCTCTAATAAAATTTGTACAACAGCTGAATCCTGTGCTCCGATTAATGAGCGCGTTAGTTCCTCACGTTCCACTCGTTGATCATCTCTGAAAAATGAAATGATTAAATGATTTCTGGAAAATAAAGCATTTGACCAGTTATGGATTTACCAAAAGTTAAGAAGAGGCAATATCACAGTAATATACCTTCCATTTTGGTTTATTTGTAGCTTCTGCAACAAGTATGTGCGACTCGCAGATAAATAGAACGAAAGAATACGTAAATAACATGGGAATAAGATATCATTTTCGAATAATCGTTCATCGCATCGAAACAAAAACAGTGGTTGCTCAACCAGCACATCATGATTCAACTCATCAGTAGACCAAGCACAAACTGTAGCCTGAAATTTCAATCGAAAAACCATAAGCAGTTAAAACAGCTAAAAAAGCAGACAACACCAATGCTCCGTATAGTGCACCGTGTCCATCATCCTTCAGTGCAGATCATCCTGCTCAGATAATGGTTATTTTTTTATACATTATCATGTTTGGAAAATATCAAATTACTCAGCAATATGAAATCATCTTGCAAGAGGGTAAGATGCCAATCCTTAAACCAATCTTTTGGACTACTGATGTTACCAACAATTAAAGGTATTTTCAATCTGGAAAGCTAAGCTAGTCAAGATTTAAAAAAAATTATGTGAGCGAAATGTTTAAAAGTGCTTATATTACTGGTTTTGAACAACAAACTTCACAAAGTGATCTCGGGACAACATTTTCCAGACGTTTCCAAATCGCTACTACTCCATTTACAAAAGACACTGGTGTGGATGAATTGAGAGCGATGACCATGGCATGTACAACAGCGTCCATCGCTTGCACCTGTTCGCGCAGTGTGCTTTTTTGCAACAAACGTATAAGACGCATGGAATTTGAAGGATTTTTATCAATTCTATCGAAAGCTTTCAACAATAAACCTGTCGGCAATGGGACTCCCCTATAACAATAAACCTCATGAAAAAAAAGAAAAGAATGAATATACTCATATATCTATATCTATATATATCGGTTATATTAACGTCGATCATGCCAAGATCCGATACATAATTCTCTTAGGAAAATTCGGATGGATATTTAATTACGAAAATGACCAGGTGGCAAGCAACGACATGCGCCAACTTGAGGCCCATCAAGTAAATATTAACCATTTTGGTCTACTTGTCGACCTTAATTTGGTATTTTTTCCAGTTCGACATTTGGCACTTTTTCCAATTGGCGTTTTTTCCATTTTTTTCCAGTTCTGTTTAACGTAGATGCACGTATTAAAGATTTCTTCCAACTTTGTCTTTCAGTAAAAAACATAATGTGCTTGTGATTAGACCATATAATTGAAACAAAATATCTTACCCAGAGGCAGTTTTGATTTCAGGATTCCTCAGCTCATCATCCACAGATAACAGTAGCGAATCTACGGTTGGAAGCATATATGGATAATAGAGGCCGCATAAATAAACTAATGGTGACCGAATGGCACGAAAATGTTCTGGTCGAGTTTCAACAACATTCAGCAGGAATCGTACCGGTATGACTGCTTCGATTTTGATGCTATAGTGGTTTCGTAGTACGAAATCAGAAAAAGTTGATTTGAAGTTTATTATATAAATAATAAGCTGACAATTTAATCAGCGAGTTATTTCAGACATCATCTTTTATAGTGCATACTTCATTGATTAAATGCTCGGCTGATCCTGGTACAGATAAATTTTTTTTTCATTTGAAACCAATTAAAAATTTATTGATAGAATAATGCAAAGTTAAGATCAAAATAGTACCTATAAAAGTGTTGAACAGTCCTCTTCTGCGTATGGCTTTCGAAGCTTTTTCGGTAACAGAGAATGAAGAAAAATGTAAGCAAGCGCGGTACCATTTTGTTTTCATCAATGACTTCGCCATTAAATATGTTCTGAAAAATGTAATTCAGTGTGCGATGAAAATTTATTTGAATAATGGTTATTTCTACGTTTGCCAATAAAAATCACATAACACCAATCATTAATCGCTTTGTAAAAGGAATATATCGATGAAAAAAAGGAAATAAAAAATAAAAAATAAAGGATATTTTTAAGTTTTTTTTGCAAAAAAAGGCTATTACTCTATTTTCAATAGTATCCCACAAGAAATTACATGGTATTTTTCCTTCAGCATACTATACATATGACTCTAAGTATTACTAAATCGTTGACCATAAAAATATCTGATCAATAAACGTAAATATCTTGCGCGACCTTCATAAAGTAGAAAAAATTAGAATAAATAATGGTTAATCAAAACCGCACTTGCCCAAAAGCATTTATTTCCCCGGAGTGTTGGGAAATGTTGAGATAGGCAAAGGAATGTTATGTGGAAATGTACTGGATGAAATTAAATCCTATAACAAAAAAACCCGAAGTTCCAGCGAAATTTTGTAATTGCTATATTTTGTAATTGTTATATTTAATTTTTCTTAGAAATAAGTGCAGTTCTCAGCGCTAACCAATACGAATTCCTCCGATAATGGACGATTAGCAGAACTTGATTCAGTACTAGCAAAACAGCTTGCAGCATAAGCGTTTAACAAATCTGTTACCACAGGATGTAACGGTGTAGCACAGTTTGTTATCTGTGCACCAATCCAATCCTGCAAATCAGAAAACGATTAATCATTGTAAAATCTTACGTTTATACAATGATATTGTGGAATCGATTCGAAAGTCAGTTTTTAATACATGAATTTGGTAAAATTTAATAATATTAGAATGATTTCGATTGAAAATTCAACATACAACTTGAACATTTAGAAAAAAAAAGATAAAAACGAAACCAGAAGGATTCAAATTAAAACTGAAATATAAAAATTTGTAAAAAACTTCGCCTGACCGTAATTTTCGCAAAAATTAGATGGATATGAGAAAAGATTTTTAAATATTGCCTTCTTTTTAGACCAGTATAGTGAAACGATTTCACTCTTTCAAATCAGCGCACAGCAATTTTTCATTCGAAAATCAAAGTAGTTCAATTCACAATTTTGATAACTCAGCGTAAGTCATTTTTCGAATCATTAAAAATCAAAATAAATTATGCTTGGATTTTGAATTTCCAGCAATAACAAACTGTCATCAATGAAAGCTTACAGTTGCAGAGTATTTCTATTCAATTGTTTCAAGCATTTTTAAGCACTGATGAATTATGATGAGAAACAGAGAGAAGGAGGGCGATTTCAGAAGCAAGTATAAACTTACTCTAGAGTTACTGAGATCGCTCTAGAAACAAACCTGGATAGGAACAGAATGTTTTGAGAATGAATTAGTGGAAAGTAACTGGGTGACGCAATGAGCTGGAAGAAATCCTTGATGATGAGAACTAAGGAAACGAGTGACGGGCATTTGCGAAGCCCGTTCTGCTATATCACGTTCAGTCATGGCATGTCGCAAGAATAAATTCTTCAGCGTTGTAAGATTTCGTACATTTACGGTAACCTGGAAGCATTGTTTAAAAAATATTACAAAAAGTACTGTATATTTTAACAACAAAAAAACTGTCAATTCAGGAAGGAAATATCAAAATAAAAATAATGCAAACATTATCCAAACCATATAGTTCAGAAAAAATTGAGCCTAGTGATGTTAGGAATGAAAACAGCAAAATTAGAGATAATTAATATATGTTCAGTTCCTACGTTAAGACAAGGACAAAAACAACCAATGTTACGTTCATGATTCGATCGTATTAGTTGTTTGTCATTCTATGACATCAGTTGTTTTTCGTTCTTATCATAGCTTAGGAACCGAATTCATCTAGAATTACTTATGTATAGGATTACGGAGGTCTACATATCCCGCAGTGTAAATATAACGGTTAATTGCATGGAAAAGTAAAGCACTATTTTGCATCGATAAAACTGCATATGATCAAAGTTATTCAAAGTTAAAAATGTTTAAAATGATACCTTAAAGGCAAGGACACTAGAAATAAGAGCGGCAAGCTGTTCACTTTGTCCAGCATGCAAGTGAATTGATAACAATATGAAAAATTGTTGTAAAGTTGGAGAAGCATTGGATGAAGCTCGCTGTTTAAGCCAATCCAAAAATGCTATAATTGAAGCTTCCACTTCTTTCTCATCACCGAGATGCAACCTTGAAATAAGCAATTATAGAATATTGACCATAGTTTTACAGTCGAACACTAAAGAATAGATTCAGATTACAAAGATCATGTGGATCACAGACATTCGCAGTGTATTGGAGAACTTGCTCTTCGAAGGTTGTATATTCACATTAAGACAAATTATCTCTTCTGCACAATTAATTTATTGTTTTCGACGGGAATTTGGAACCCCACTGCTCAGATTTTGATGTAAAACTCAAGAGTCAGTAAAACAATTTTGTGGCAAAAAATGAAGGAGGAAATCATAATTGACAAGATGAGAGGGGGAAAAAAAACTGATTAGAAGAAAACATGATGTCTTTGCCGATCGCTCCGAGACTTCTGGATAACTGCTCGTGATGTTTAATACTTTCAAACTGTTTATCCTTAGACAAGATATCTATGTTAAAAGAAGTTTCTAATGCAATTTCGTGAAGTCAAAGGATACTTACGGTATTAACTGTGGACAAGCAATGATAACAGATAATGCTGTCATTATATATCGATCATCATCCAAATCTGTTCGAGTAAGAAAGAGCAACCAAGAATTTGTTTCATCATAACTCAGGCGCATATTAGCATTAATACGAAGAACCGCCAATAACTGAGCTAAAGCTGCTTCACTACCATCATTCATCGTACTACAATAATCAAAAAATATCTAATGAATTTTCTAAATCTGATCTGAGTCAAGAATGCTTTATTTTGAAATGAATTGGAAATTTTTTTAGAAAATCGAGAGCTAAATTTTAAAACAACATAACAAATCAGAGCTACTGAAATGATGAAATGATGTTCTCATACATAAGTTTCGCGACAGAAGAAATTTCCGGCTTTTCACTGCATCTCGAAAGATAAAAATGTAAAACAACAGAAAAGAGCTTCCTGAAGGAATTTTGCAATTTCAACAGTTACTAACCCATTTCTTCCATTGACTAACCAAGTTCAGAGAGCTTATTCTAATTTCTTTAACCTCATAATTTGCACAAGGTGAGTTTCGTGGTCACTGATAAATCTACTTCACAAGAAATTAAAAATACTGAAAATACCGCGAACCTAGACGAAAATGCACTTATAGCCTCGGAAATTCGATCGCGTAGAAGTTTCACAGCCGGTTTGTCAGATGATCGGTGAATAAAGACAGCTAAGGAACGCTTGTTTAGCAAAGCACAAAGTAAATTGTTTATCAACTGAGAGCTAGTTAAACAAACACAGATTAACATCAGTGCCAAACTATTGCCATTTGAGGTGTTTGTATCCAGCAGTTGAGAGATGCTTGGTTCAACAAGATATGGATCTATAGAAAGCAGCTGAAATGTAACAATTCTGAAGTACAAAGGATATATATGAGTAGTTTTTTAAATTAGGAAATGTGAAAATCAAGACAATAAATAAGTAGATAACAAAAAGTAAACAAGCAATTTATAAAGGTTGACAGAATTACGCAACTAACTCAAACGTACTTGAACGGAACCTGGAACTGAGAGGTTTGCAAATCTAATGTTTTAATATTTTTCAAGTACTCTATACATAGGTTGGCATGAATATGACTAGTTACATTAATTCCAACACTATCTTATTGGACTTAAAATTTTGACGAGATCCAATATGAAAAGGATATACTATATGATAATACATAGTTATACTATATAAGGTTATGCCATATGGCACTACATAGTTATACTATATAAAGCTATACTATATGGTAAAACTATATGATACTTCATACACCATTCCGTCATTCAACATTGCGCATTTTCGCATGTAAAGCGACATAGCATGATTACTTGAAAATAACTTGTGACAATAACAGATAAACCGTTCTGCATTGGTGTATCATCGGCCGTGTATCATCGATACCAAGAATTTGGTATCGATGATACACGGCCAAATGTTCATTAGATGCAGTGAATTAACTAGTACTATAAATCTTGTTTGAAAAAAAAAAACCTCCGCGAAATTTAATTAAAAAATCTGTACTAAATTAGTGTTAAATTTCTCCACAAATTGTATGATTTCCACAAAATTTGACTAAAAAAGGATGGAGAGAATAGGTAAGACAAAGAGTTCATTATGTTCAACAAACCTTTAGAAGTAAGTTGTTTCTGTTTTTGCTGATAACATTATCATCATCCAGCAACTGAACCCTCAATAGGTAATCAACAGTGGATTCCAATGAGTCGCTGACATTACATATTAGCTAGAGAAAAAAAAAATTAAGCGAATTATTACTGTATTATGTCGTTGAAGCATCTTCCAGTAACTGAGAATAGTATAACGAATATGACCTACTATGACTTCTGCATGTTATTAAGGAACTTTTAACGCTTACCATAGTGATCACAGTTACAACATTAGGTATTGCCAATAAGGGATGAACGATTAAGGCGGGATCGAAACGATTTGGCATATACAAGGCACATACAGTCATCGCACATACAACTTCTTCTAGTGTTGATTCCTGTTCAAAGATATCCAAATCCGCTGCATTATTCACATTTCTTGTAACTAAAGGATAACCTCCAGTTTACAACATATCTGGGAGTACTGACTGACAAACTTTTAATATTTACATCAATTCAGGAATTTCTTTAAATATATTTCCCCCAGGTAAGGGAAATGTTCGTATCAAACTACCAGGCTACATTTCTTATCTTTAAAAAACACGAAAATGAGCAGTACAAAGTAAAAGTCAGTAATGGTGCTAACATTACACTGCTATTTGAATTAACGAAAGATGAATTAGTAGTAATTAGAAAAACTCCTAGCATATTTGGATTCTTATCTTGTTGCCACCAATAAACCATAAGCATTCGTCCCCCAGCTGTTTCAACTTATAGGGTTATATCTTATAAAAAATCCTTAAAAGTATGAACCAACTTATTCTATAATACTTCGATTAGTGGGTGTCTGATCACCCCAATTTATTTCATTCCTACTGCTATATAAGTGTCTCACACCTTTGTCGAATTTATAACAAATTATCCAACCCAGGATACAGTAGAGGGTTGTATCATTTTCAAAGCCATTTATTGGGTTGTATCATTTTCAAAGTCGCTTTGGACCTAACATATTATTAGTAAATTATTTTCAGTTATCAAACGTAACAATTTTCTGATGCAATATTTTGACATACAAATATTTGCACCAGAAATACTATTTGAATATGTTTGGTCGTATAGGTTTAATTCACCTGCCTTGGTTGAGTTATCTACATAACAAAGATGCTTAACCACTGCATAAATTTATAAATGAATTAGGATAAAAATACGGAAACTGAGGAAAGTTCTAACTTCGATCAAGTAGGAATGCGACGATTTTGAGTTTCATTTGTGGCGGCGCGGTTTCAAAAGGTACTTTACGAATATTTTCAATATCCTCCGCCGTTGCTTTAATCAAATCATTTTCTACAGCCACAACGTCGGCATTTAGAATTTGAAACAACGAATTGCACTGCGGAAACTCCAGTAAACGGCGTCGGAGCTGATCCTAAGAAAAATTGATGAAAATACATTGCTGATGATGAATATTTAATTTTAGTAATAATCATATATTATTCAGAGTGATTACAACATTTATAATAAAAAAAAAGTCGTCAACGGCATTTCGACTGCTGCGCTATAGAAACGTCGCCTTTAATTTCCCGTAACTCTGTTTGTTTACAGTCTGCTAACTTATTTGCTCATTAATTACTAACTAGCAGAGCAGTAATTATTGTTAATTCGCCAATTACTTAATTCATTTTAACTTGTTATTAAGGAAAGCAGATATCCGATAACTTTAAGTTCCCATGAATTTCGCAATTTAAAATCCGAAAGCGTCAGGAATTTTGTAAATTTCAAGTAGAAGTAAAAGTCTTTCTAGAAGCGAAAATGTGAAGAAAGTGGGCAGTAGAAAAATCCAGATCTTTAGCACACTTTTTTTTCGAGATTCTCGAAGACCATATTGTTTTCAAAAAGGAAAATCTTCACTATTAAGAAAAAAATCTGGACTTTTCGAACAATGAGAATTCCAGGATTACTGGTAAACCAAAATTCTGATTTTCCTTGGAAGAAAAAGAGAAATTTTGGTTTCCTGAAAAAAAAATGACGCCTTGATATTCTCGATGAAACAAACTAACCAATGATTCATCCGTTGAGTTGCAAGCCGATGAAAATGAGCAAAGCAAAAGTGATGGCAGGAATGGTTGGATTTGTTCAAGATCAAATGCATCGATATTATCGATGAAAGTGCCATTCTTCAGTGCAGCATACACCGGTTGTGGTACTTGGCCTGGTACCATTCCCAGTTCTATAACCTTCAGGGTTGATGATAGGTAAGTGATGAGTTAAGTAAGGAGTACAGAAGCATAAATATAAACGAAAAGACGAAATAATCAAAAAATGAACACAAGAATAGCCTAGATAATACCATAAACAAACCATCCGCTCATCAGTACCGAAAGAGGTGCGTTGCTGCAATTTTGAAAAGCTCAACTGGGTTAATTTTGTTATATGGTGGTAAGATTATTTGAGAGGCCTGCGGATTTTTAATTCTTGTGTTTTGTAAATATTTCACAGAGTGTGCCTGCGATGATTTGACCTCCAACCTTTCTTTAGTAGAACTGAACACTTCTGTTCGAGCTCAGTGGTTCTCACTATATTGGAGATAAGGACTACTAATTATTCATTGCCATTTAACATCATCCTCACGAACTGCTGAACTGAAACTCAGGTTTCCCAACATTTGTTGTTAGTTTATCGTTTGCTCTTGCTGTTCTTTTCACTAACAATATCATCATCAATCATGAATTCTTATTTGCATTCATCGATTGCCGAAACGACATTGTCCTCCTCCGTGGGATCTGTTAATGAAACGGAAAATTCCCATTCACTGAATAGCACTTCATTTCTGGATACTACTGTTTCACCCATCCGTTTCGTCGAAGATCATGAAAAACCACAAAAAAATTTTGAAATTTCGTTGGATGCTCTTGTTGACCAGGAAAATTGCCAATCACTATTGGAAATAGGTTTGAAAAACAATGAAAATCGATGTGACATTTTCGACACAATTGATGACGTCCCAGAAACACCGAAATCCGTTGAAATCATTGATCTAACAACACCGAAGAAGACTTCACAGAACAGATCACCTCTTCTTCCGACCCAACCACCATCGACGACCTGTTCAGCTCTTACGAAGCGACGATCAAGAGTCTGTTGTAATGGCACCTTGGACAGTTGGATTAATTGGTTTGAACCACCACCGAAACGGAAACCTGTGAATGGAGATAAATATGACCGCTGGTTGAATATTACTCCGGACGTTTCTCCAGAAAAACTGGATCTGGAGATCAAGACAAACAAACAGTACACTAAGAATGCTAAGATAGCTGTAAATGGTTCGTGCTCGGCGCACGTTTTGTCAGAGTCTTTGACAAGCTCTACTGGAATTCGGCCAACCTTTCCGAACCGTAATTCCGGAAAGGTTAGAAGGCTAACCCCAAGCAATGCAGAATGCCCAAATGAAAATATACGGGAATTCCAGCAAATTTCACCTCGGATATCTTCACGATCGATTACAAACCAGAAATCTCAAGGAATCACTGAATTGCAAAATTCCTCTGTGATGTTAAAATCTACTTTACCAATAATATCTACTAGTCAAGAAGAAGCAGATGAAGACCAGTTGGATGTTATTTCTTCTCTGTCGGATGATTTTACTCTTCCGCTTACTCCTTCTCCTCCAAACACCTTACAGAAATCAGAAACGCTGAAGCAAATGTCGCTTGCAACTGTGCTGAATCGAAGTAACGTAGCTGAGTATTATGCTCTCTTGGAATCACGGCATACACGTTCTCTGATGAAAGCAATATCTTCACCAACATTTAGCCGTAATGACCGAAAATATGTGGACAATGAGCTAACTTCACGATTTGACGATGATGGTAAAGTTCGACGAAAAAAGGTTGAACGAAGATTGCTGCACGGTTTCGATTGTCGATGTTGCGCGGATTATTACGAAGCTTTAGGATTAAATCAGGATGAACGCAATAAACGGATTGATCAAGTTAGTCTAAATTCTATTTAGATCACACCATTATATTCTTAAAACCGTATATCAAAGATATAGGCGATCATTGCTTATATGTTTGATGAATAGAATTGGTTCGATATATCGGATATGGTTGTGGATCGTTCACGATTTTTAACAAATAAAAGTGGTATTTAGGAACGAACTTTGGTATTGTATGCTTTAGTTCATCCGTACTCTTTACAGGTTAGTAAACACAGAAACACTGAAAGAGAACCATCTACTCCCGAATATTACTGGGAGATTGGGATGCCAAACATAGAAGAACAACGTCGACGTGGGCAAATTGTTGAAAGCAATTCACCGATTGCTCTTAAAACACGTTATCCGGAGTACAAGCCGAAGAGACGGGCTCGACGTAGACTTTTCACTTAACAAACAACTATTTTTACTGACATTTTCATTTATACAGTGTGAATTGTTGTTTGAATCTAGGTAGGCTAGGGCATAAACAAGCAGTCGATAGTTTACAGTAAGGAATGGTTTTGTGGCTGTTATATGGAAACTCCATATATGACTTTATTTAACATGTGTCATTGCCACTACTGAAAGTTGCTGCGCTGAATGACTAAACTGTTGATAAATTTTCTTCCTGACAATTGAAATTTGGATATATCCAGGTTTCGAGATTCTAATGAGATCAGCTTTCTCATCAACCTCGTTAAATGACTGTTGTAAATGTTTTTTATTGTTGTGTTCTTCTGGTAGACTACCTCAAGAATAGTGCTTCAAAAAAGCTAGAAATCGTATTAACCGATCTGAATGACTATCGTTGATCAGATGATTCATGAGTAATATCCATTCCTTTTTCACTGTCCATTACAACTGTATCATATTTTCACTTATTTAAAACTAATTAGGTATTGCAGGTATTTAGTAGATCAAACTGATGGATAAAAAAATATGGATCATTATTTCCCGTAAACTCGCTTAAAGCTTGAAAAATAAGCCCAGTTCGCACATACTAGCTAGTGTTATTTTTTGGTGCAAAAATATCTTTGGGTCAGATTTTTCAATTGATAGCTTTTCCACATTATAAAAACCCCGAATTGAAAACTGATGATTGTGGAAATCTGGACCTCTCTTCTTTAATTCACTTATTTTTTATTTGTTTTTTTTGCATCATCTCTTTGCTAAAAGTTAACTGCCAATATGTTTTTGAATAGGACTTTGTTAAATCGATGTTCACTTTGTTCACTTTGTTTAAAACTATTAGTAATTATCCGATCTTTCTACCTGACATCTTTTAAAAACTTTTTATGCTGCCTGCTTTACTTACATTTACGTGTCATTGTTGTCCAACCATTACTTTTACACTTTTTTTGCTGTATGTTTCTGTCCATTACCTCTTTTTTCTTTCATGTCCATAAATTTTTTCAAAATTTCAAATTTCAATTATTTGTGAATTTTTCTGTTCAAACATATCTTAAGTTTTGCAACATTTTTCTAATGGCCATACACTTCATTCATGTCACTCCAAACTACAACGGGAATTTTAATTTGCTGTTTTAAAAAATCAAAAGAGTTACTAGAGGATGAAAACACGGTTGTATATTAACTTTATTTCTAATTAGAGTTTTAATTGACAGCTAAGATTTGCATTAAGTTTAGCATTACACCTGCCATCACTCTCATGTGCAGTTTCAGTTTCGAGAACAAGATGGGCGATTTTATTATGAATAAATTCGAAGAAGAGCTTGCCAAATATAAGCAATTTGAGAAAGGTTAATAATTTCGTCGATTTCATTAGCTTATCTACATCTCTTCTTTCTCCCCAATCAAAAGTTTTATTAAATATTTTGATAGTCTTTCTTACCGAAGATCGAGAGGATGCATGCTGACTTCTGAGAGATAAAATGTAGTTTGGAGTTTAAATGTCACACTATAGTTTAGTGTTACACTTTGGAACGACTGGTAAATTCTCTCTTCAGTAAAAAGGGTGCTTTGAAGAAATGAATCATTTATATAGGTTAATAACTGATTGTGTCAGTGTGCTCACCACTGTTAGATTGTGGGGTCATAGTGCTTTATGCTATTTTGATAAGCATTATTTATCTTTAATTGTTTGCAGATCGCGAAAAAAATATTCATAATCGACAGCAGCTTGAAGGGCAGTTGACGGAAAATAATCTTGTGAAAACCGTAACTTTTCAAAATTTTCGTTTCTTCATTTTCTTTGCAGTTAATTAGCTTTAATTTTTTAATAAGTTCTTGATCCATTAACAGCATAACTACTGGATGGATTGAAGTTGCGATTGTATCATCGTTTTTTTTTGGAGAGGGAAGGAAGGTCCGTTGTCATATTTTATAATTTTGTTTTAATAATTGGAATAAATCCTTCTTTTTTGGTAAGCAAAGCTTTACGAAGGCTTCATAACGGCTTGATTTTTTCCAGTTGCGTTACTTTATTCATCAGAAATATAGTTGTTCTGTTTATACATTTCAGGAGCTTGATCTTCTAGAAGATGGTGCAACGGTGTACAAATTGATTGGACCAGTACTTGTTAAGCAAGATCTCACGGAAGCAAAACAAAATGTTGAAAAGCGCATAGATTATATCACAAGTGAAATGTAAGCTTTTTTATTTTCACCATCACAATTAACTATAATAAATTTTAAAAACAAAGAAAAAATCTATATGCCATGTAAGTTATGGAGAACAAGAGACGATATTAATTAAATAAATAATTGAAGTCAAATGTATTTTTGGTTCGGTAGATTAAAATTTAAAATTCTAGTCTGGATTTACTTTTTGTTTTGGAATAAAATGGTATTGTTTTGGGATACTGTCAAGTCTTACATCATGTTTGAATAAGTCTGAGATGTGTGTTTCAAGTCTTGGGAAGTGTTCAAGTCTTTTTTCGTGCATTCACAAAGTTGAGTAAAATATTTCGCAAATTTTTCGTACTTGGAACGATCGAGTGCGTGGTAGAAGTCAAGAGTTGATTATGTGAAATTTATATGAATCGATTTATGCAATAGTTGTGTGCACAAATATTTGCTTAAAATCTCTCATATTAGCTTACTGTATTACCAAATTGAAATAAGTTATAGAAAGCGATTAGAGGAAACGATAGCAGATTCTGTAACGAAGCAAGAAAATCAGAAACAAACAGTGATGAGGTTACAAAATGCAGTAACTCAACGGTTCCGGAATAAATGATCGCAAAGTACTTGAAAAGTGATTTTTGTTCAGCATGTTATGTTGTCGTTAGAATTTTTGCTTATGTTGCAAAAATTTACCGTTAATCAAAATTTTGAATTGATATTGGGAATTTCTTTTAATAAGCAAATTTGTTCAGAAATTAGCATCGCAATGCATATTTTTATCTTGAATTATCTGTAATGCTTAATTAAGCCATGAGGGTTTTATGTCTGTATATCCATTTTTGCATAGGGTTGTGAATGATGAGCATTAGTTGAAGTTATGTAATGTGTGAAAGATGATTCGTAGTTGAATTTCACGTTAAAGCTGTGATGCATGAATATAATAGCTAAATTCTGCTTTGATTTATGCACAGTTACCGTGTTAAAAACCACAGAGGCTGAGTAGTACTTTTTAATATTAGGTTGCTTATATATCCAATTTTAAGAAATGGTTATTCAAATAATTCTTCTCTCCGCAGTCCTTGAATTCATTGTCAGTCGTGGAAAAAGTATCGTATGGTATCTTTTAAAAAGTTTTCGAACGTCACATATGAAGACCTGATAGGTGCAGTATGATTCTTTATATTGCAGTGAATTTATTTTGTTGAACTCATACTGCTTTTTTTGTGTTGTTTACTTTATTCATTGAGTAATTATTGCTTTTTCTTCGCTTTATCTTTTTCTACAAAGTTTTAACAACTTTCGAACTTATTTTTATTGTTTTTTCCCTTTTGAAAACTTGATTTGAATTGTAATAGTGTGGAAGCGAAGTATTCCGGATATCTCTTGTTTTATTCCGGATATCTTTTGTTTTCCAGAAGTCATCGAGTTCCCTAAAAAAGAAGAATTGATTTACAGTATTAGAAATATTTCCGGCACTCATGGATTTCTATATGATGGTTCTCATTAACCGCATACGTTTAGAAAGTTTGTAGCTCATTTTTATAGGTTTAATTTAGGCGGATGTTTCTTTCTTTACATTAAGAATTAAAAAGTAATCCTTGGAAAAATTTTTTGCAAAACTTAGATGAAAAGATTGGTTTGTTATAAACATTCATTTCCCGTATAGATCTTTTAATGTCACCGAATCTGTTTCGCTTCTAAATTCTGCGAGTCATTGCTCGTTACCAAAAGAATCATTTTTTAAGATGTAACTGAAATTCTTCTATACCGTAAATGTGTTCCCATAGGTTTATTTATAAGGTTATGCAAATGCGTCTCTTCTAGCTCTTGTGTAAGTAGTTCAGGTGATATTTGAGCGGAATAGCTATCGGGATTATAAGCAATTAACAGGGCTATATACGCTCTGCTATATAAGACGGCTTTTCGAAATATCATCGCAAGAATATAAACTTTTTACTCACTTCTAAGCGCATCTTTTCGGATATGTTAGAGCTTTTGCATTGACTTCCGGGTGAACCGGATACGGAAGGATTAATCTCTTCAGCTACCCATTGCTGAGATTTTGCTGTCTGCGTTGATGCGTCGATTAATGATGCACCACCATGCTGTTCTTTGGTAAGTATGACTTTCGTTTTTGCTGATACCTGAGTTGTTTGTTTGAATGGGATAGTTGAATCTCTTTTCAATACTAGTTTACTCATTCGCATGTCCGTTCCACTGTCTTTGGTAGGACTTTCGCCATTAAGCCTGAGAGTTTGAGTGGATGATTCGGAATACCGGCTTATTTGTGTTTTTTGTGTATGGATTGATACAAGTTTGGATTTCTTTCTCGGATCTGACGCCTCCTTTCTTTCGCTTTTTTTCTGTTTTTTCTGTTGTGATTGAATATTTGGCGTTTTCGAGTACTTTGCCGTTCCTTTTTCTTCTTTTTCGATGATCAGTTGTTTCAAATCGTTTTCCTGTTCGTTAATTATCTCATCATCCTCATCTCCTCCATCCTCTTTCACTATTTCACCACTTCCAGTTTTGATTCCTATTGTTGGTGTTCTTTTAAGAGGTTAATATATAGATTTGAGCTTCTTTATTATTACGCTTAATTGCACTTGATATTACACATGATATTTCCAAAGTATTGGAGTGAATTTTAATAGGGCAATAAAGACTCATTCTTTTTCCCATCTCTCCCTTTCACTGTTTAATGATTAAAATTAGTTTCGCAATTCAAACTAAGAAAAAAGACTAGCTTTAATTCTTCTAATGAAAGGCTATTTTATGATTTTTTCAAGCGAAGTGAAACAATAAACTTAGCAGGATTTGAGAAGTCGTTTTGGAATAAGAGTAACATATCCTACCTTGTCCATAGCTTCTAACAATTATTTCGACATTATCTCCGATATTATAAGCCTAAAATGAAATAATTAGACTTTATTGATTCTGGTTTGAAAATACGGATTCTGCGATATATCGCATCATACTCTCAACACTGAAAGTATAAATTGCGGTAGGATATTCTAGGATTTCGGTGAAATATTCTAACTGGAATTAACGAAAAAGAAATCACAGTAGTTTAAAAAACATACGACATTAAGGTTTTTATCAAATCGAACATGGTCGTTAATATTGCTTCCAGATGGTTTTTCATCTGTAAGGTCGTGCTCCTAAATTTAGATGAAATTAGCATTTAATTGCAGCTACAGGTTAAAGGAAATATTGGGAATGCGAGACGTTCGATTGATTAGAACTAACAAGAATGTGTAATTTAGGACATTCAATAATAAGCGGTCCTTTGAATTGAAATGCTGAAGCATCGAACGGCTCCGGTAGGTATTTTCCTTGTTCCTCTGGTGGTGGCTCGGCTCGTCTGCAATTCTCGATCAAACTTTTCGGTAGTTCATCTTCCGTTGTTTCTGTACAGTAGTATTGTTAGTTTTAAATTTATGTGTAGTTTACTAACCAATCAATCAATTGCTGTTATTGTAGATTTGGCAATGTTTAGGCAATGTTAAGCCAAACGACAGACATTCTCAAGAATGTCAACTCCTGTTTATTGCTTTGTTTGACTACATTCAAGCAATCTTTTCTATTGAGAACTAGTGATTAAAAGAAATGATCTCAACCCTCAATGTATGGAAAAATTGATGCGCAAACATATCCTCTATGCCTCAAATGTAGTTAAACTATTCATCCAAACCAACCTTGCTTTTGACAACAGCAATATAAAATGAGAATAACAAGGATGGCGATAATAATAATCAGCAAGGGTATACCTATAACTAGAACTATAATAATTACCAGCATTGTTCCTCCATTTCTGAAAAATTCGTTGTTGAAATTTGTATATAGCATTAATAAGTTAAGAAAATGCTTATACATTCTCTTATAATCTTTCGGAAATGGAGCCTACTATAAAAATCTTTTTAAATTCTTCCAGAATTATATATCAATTGGCAGGAAATTGTTTGAATAATTATGATGACTTTAATGTTAGCAATGGTCATCTGTGTCAGTATGTTAATTAATAATTTGACGCTATCATTTTACACTGATCATTGTTTTTAATTTTATTTCATTTGTTAAGAAGTTAACGAATAATATTGAAAGTCGAATAATTTACCATAGTTTCCGGCCTAATTTAGTGAGTCTACTTGATATACATGAATATTTTCCCCTTATTCTTGCGGTAATTTTTCATCTCTACTGATATAATTTATTGCGAAATTCATCTTTGCTGAAAATTTCAAAAAAAAAAAAGAATTTTTAGGGAGGCTTACCCAGATTGAAAAATTGAACGTTTCAATCTTGCATAAGGCATTGACAGTTTTGTTTGTAAGATACAACTCCGAGTTCTTAGACGATAATGAAATACATTGTACGTTGCTCCACTGAAAAAATAATATATTTGAAATAAAATTTAAAATATCAAAGATTAAAGATTTACTTTTTCTATTTTAGCTTATCAGATTTCTTGAGAAGAACTGTTTTATCAGAGTGATGATTCATCGATATTATATTGTTGATATGATGATAATTCTCTAGAAGCCTCATTTTTCAGATTGACTGGAACATGTGAAGTATTGTGGTACTGATCCATTTTTGGTTGACATAACAATAACTTACGATCCAATTTGTTCACAGAATAACAAATTAAGTTTGTTGCTAAGATAGATAAAATGAGTTTTTTGTGTGTTAATTTTGAATAAAAATTCAGATTGACGAATGTAGGGGACGGTTGAACGATAAATCCGTTTTCGTCGTTTATAATATATATAATAATTGCTAGGATCCAGCTGCAATACTTGAAAATTTATTCTGAATTTAAAATTTTAAATTTAGCGTATATTCGTAGGTTGCATGGAAATCTGAGCTGTATATTACACCTAAGACAAAAATAATTAATTGGATATTAGCAATGTGTAACTTTTTAGCAAGTTTTGAGTAAGTACATTCAGTTCCTGAGTTATCAGCTAATCATGTGGTCTAAATCAAGCGTTAATTAAAATGAAATTAAATAATGAGAAATGAATCAATAGTGCAAATCTATTGAGGAGTAATGGTAGTTAAGTTTGGAATTACTCTCTTACAATACAGTCATCAGCATGTAGTTTAATAATATATTTGATACATATATTCATTTGATAAGAGCAGTTGTCTAGGAGTAACTGGTATCTTCGATTAACCGGTGATTCTCCTAAAACTAATTATAAATAAAATGTGAACGGAAAAATTAACTGATATTTAGCTTTCTAGCATTTCCCAGTTCTCCATCAAAAAAAAAAAAAAATAGGTTAGATGATATATAGTTAATTGTCGCTGAACTTACGTTATGATTTAGAAAAGTCTAACAGTACTTTGTAATGGCTGAAATAATTAGAAAAGAGAGAGTAAATGAGTTAGAATAGTTTAGTATTTTTTAAGTCAACATTATAGACAAGAGAATGATTAAGAGAGAGAGAGAGAGAGATTTTTAAAAATCTTACTTTTATTTTTTGCAACTGGTAGATAATTTTCTAGCGTTAACTCAAGTGGTAATTTTGTCGTATTAGTAAATACACTGCGCAATATAGCATCACTATAACTGATCAAGAGTAAGAAATTTTTACACTCAAGAAAGTCGACAATCAATTTCCTAATTAAACTACTCTTATCAATGCTTATCAATGCATATCATTAATCTCACTATTCAAAAATTCAACCTACGTGCTTTTTCGTGTTTTGATTCAAAATTTGAATCTTATCCCATTAATTTTATTGACTATAATTTGACAAACAATACATTTAGGTTGTGTGAAGTAAACGGACATTTCATTATGCTGCTATATTCATCTTCCGAGTTTTTTTCTTCTTTTTTGATTTATTTGAGCAGAAATGTGAAATAGGACATAATTAACTTAATCTCTTTTTTTTGACAGGTTCTAATTAATCTCAAACAATCCAATGTTCATGTTTAAAAAAAATTTTTTTTTAACAACCTAGTATCGGGTAGAACGATTAATACAAGTATTTATATGTACACCTATAAATCAAGATTTGAAAGGATGAAATACACCTACTTCTGTTGAATATTTTTTATGTCATCTGTTGTGAAAGCATTATAGAGATTTTGCATATTGCACTTTGTTTTCTGCAAACTAATAAACTAGTCAATAGTGACATATTGACCCTACATAAAATGATAAGTTGAAATTTTAAAAATGAAATAATTTTTTTTTTAGTGAATATTGTCTACTCTTCAATAAATTTACTTAATCTAACAAAATTTTTGTTATTTTTAACATACTGATGTGTTTTAGCACTTTAAAATTTACTCAATGTTTCCTTTAGTATTTTACAAAGTGTTAAGAAATTTCTCTAGTCTTTGGACCTCATAAAATTTGCTTTAATTCCTTGAAATTTGTAAAGAAAGATAATTTAATCTTTCTTTACTAGTTATAATTAATCACAAAACTCAGTATCAATTTTTACTAGTTATAATTAATCACAAAACTCAGTATCAATTAAGAAACCTCAACAATTGCATGCTTTACGGAATAATTGAATGGAAATAGAGTTATAAAAACGATAACATTTACAAGCACCACCAAAATACAACAATCATCCCTACTACGACCGTGCATTATAGAAAATTATCAAAATAACAATCTATTTTATTGTTTTTATGCTTTTCACTTTCGAAAATTTGCATGAATGAGATTTTGACAGCATATAGAGATGAAATATGGGATACGTCGTTAAAACAAATTTAGGCTAAAATTTAGATGTGATATGAGGAAAGTAAGGATGAGATCGTTAAGGTGACATTCTTGATTAGAATCTCAAACTGCGTTATAATATTCAGTATTATATTCAGGTTTGGAAAAGTCAACAGCAATTATTTGAGGAAGTGTTTGGAATAATTCAGATAATTTGAAATAGTGCTAAAATCAAATTGATGAGGCATGAGTAAACAAGGACATAAAACAAGAGCAAATTTACCAGCTGGTGGATTTCTGGCAATTGGTCGTGATGCTCCGTCAACTTCTGATACGAGTCGCGTGAAACCTCAAGTTCATAAACGAGAATTACCACAGGTTAATTGTATAGTAATTGTTGATTGTGGATTGTGGTTTTCAGTTGCAACTGTAATTTTCGAATCTGTATATCGATGAACAAGTAATTTGTTCATTTCATTCATTGCCTATTCACAGAATTTATTTTGCTTCAAACTCGAATTATTCCCATCGATTGTTTCTTCAATTCAAATAATTGTTAGAGTATTATTTCTTTAATCCAAATAATATCGAAAGACGGAAAATTGTCTATTCAGATAAGAGATTACCCCACACAAAAAATCAAAAACTTAATATAACAAAGTACGATTTTGTCTCATTTCCCTATGATTACTTAGTCGTTTGACGCTTCCTGATAAATGATAGCGGTCGTAATACTGCCCCATTTTTTCCTTTTCACACTCGGTGTTGAAAAAAAAGAAAAAACACAAAACTGACTAAATGGATTGAAAGACTTTCAGATGTTTATTTGATTTACTTCACTGTAATTGTTCAATTACAGTTATCGAGTGGTGTTTTGAAGAAGCCTCGTCTTGACTTTTCTGGGAAAATTCTTTCCAGTACTCAATCAACGAGTTCCGTCAAGCGTACCGAAGTCGATGATTCAAAATGGCGTAGTTTTTGTGCTGAAGTAAGTAATAATATCAAAACTGTTATCCGAATATCAAGTTGATTGCTTAAAAAACATGAGTCATATTAATTTCGTCTAGTCGCGAATCTTACAAAGGTTTTTTTTAAGTGATAGCAATAGAACTTCTGACTTCTGAGAACTTTTTACTTTATATGTCTATAACGACTGCAGTTGAAAAATTCTTCATTACACACTCATAGTAAATGAGTAAGGCATCCAACTAAACGGGAATTTGATTGTTTTTTATCGAAATTGCTTCAGGTACAAATAGAACCTAAGCAATTACTAGCATCGTTGGAATTAGCAAAGGAAAAACAAAAACCACAAAAAGCCGCTCGGTTGATATGTGCAGCAATACGGGAAATGATTGATCATCGTAAAGAAACCGGTAGTTGGGCTGAAGAGCCAATTATTTGTTCAGCACTTATGCTTTTCATAAAAATGAATACTTCATTTTTATTAGTAAGTAATCTTTTCATGATCTTACAGATTAAAGGTAAAAGGAAGGAATTGATGATTAGCATACTTTTTTTGGGGAGACTGTGACTCATTAACTGCATGAATATTGAACTGAATTAACTATATGAGTTAAACACTTATGAAAAAAAAAAGTACCAAACGAATTAAATTTAATGCAATTAGGATCTTGTCACTTATTTGTTATTTTTTTCCATTTGTAAGAGTATTAGGTTTTTATAATACTTTTTTATTGTTATTTTTAGAATCATTCTTTGAGCGAGTCAATAACAACACCTTTTCCAGCTGAATCAAATCGATATAATTCTTTTTTTAATTTCTGAGGCACATGTTTAGATTATAATGTTATTTCAATTGCTGTCGACTTCATAGCTCGATATGTTAACTGATAGAGCTTATAATCTATGTTAAAGAATTTAACTTTGTTGCAGCCGCAGGAAGAATTGATCGAAGTACTTTGTTCACTGTTGTCAATGAATTTACCTACCTCTTCGCCCGGTTCAGCAATGGCTCCTTTACGTAAATTTCTCCACTTTCCGTTCTTACCATTATTATCATTTTATTCGGTCGAGTCTTCTAACCGATGTTGGCTTTTGAATCCCTTATGTAACATTAACAAAAATTTATAATAAAAATAAAAAAAATTATAAAATAAATAAAATTATAAAATAAAAAAAATTATAAAATTAACAAGCCAAAAATAGCTCAAAAACTATTACATGAAGCGGAATACATTGGTGGTTGACATTCAGAGATATTTCGAGAAAGTAATGCCTCATTTGCTAGCTTTGCAGTCACGCTGTCTTAGACAATTCTTTGAATTATTTTTGGTCATGGAAATTCTGGTAAATGGTAGTTCAAAAATACTACGTTCCAACAGGATTTCAACTTCAGTTAGAGATATAAACTATGCGATTGATTTTTATAGTGTTATACAAACTTTTGATGGAAACGACCAACTGGAATTGGCGATTGGTTGAAACTTTTATTGATGACAGTTTACATGAAAGACAGTGGGCTGATCGACCATCAGTAGATGGTTTGGTTGTGAATATCATAACAGCTTTTGGTACTCGGATCCCACAGGAATCGATGTATATAGCATGCGATTTGACTTATCCAGAACGTTATCGGACTGTGGTAATAATATTATTTTGGCTTATACAGGGAATTATATAGAGATATGAGGAGATATAATTAAACGGAACGGTTTTGCTATCGGCATCCGATACAGATATTTCGGTTTCCATCTATCCTACAAAAAAAAAAAATTTTTTCAAACTTTCTTTATAAGATTTAATGAAGCTTCAACTTTACCGAACTTTTCATTTGTTCGATTGAAATTTATTAGGAGAAATAATGGATATTTTTAGACGACTTTTTAAGTCTTATTTTTACAGGCCGAAATTAATCGATTTGCGAAAGTGACTGACAAAGAGCAGAAAATTGACGCATTTGTGGTGCAAATGAGAGATATATGTGAACGGAAGGGTGAAAGTGCACCAAGAAATTTGTTGAAGACGATGTGTACATGTGCAGGAAATGGAAATATTCGATTACTGGCTGCACGAAAAATGGATTCATGGTTGCTGAATGGAAAGGTGTATATTTTCAGTGATGGTGATATTAATTATTATAATCATGAAATACTGATATTATATATTGTTAGTGTAATTGTCGGCAGCATATTACTTACGTTCATCAGTAATTAAACTTGAAGCACAGCTTTGTTTGATTTTGGCTTTTTTCAATTTTAGTTTTTTTTCTTTTGAAATCTGCTCCTATATGAGTTGATGTATGTAGTATTGCACGTTATGACTTGACATGTGATAAAATACATGTAATGTAAAGTATATGTTAAAGATATAATTCAGGAATGCATTAGCGAGTTAAACTATGTAGTAGTAATTAGAGATTAGTAAAGAAATACTGGGACTCGAATTAATTTGAATTAACTTGAAATTCACATCGACTTGTTTTACTATTCTATTTTCTGGCAAACGATCATTCAGTTACTTCTTTTTTTGCAGCTTCAAAGATATGCCATGGAATTACTTCTGTGGATTGCAAGTAATATAGGCCGAAGTGAGTTTACCGAAGAAGATAGTGAAACGTTAAGCGCTTTGTTAAAATTGCGGGCATTGAAAAGTAAACAAATCAATATGTTATTCAATGTTGCCTTAAGGTGAGTAAAACTTAATTTAAAGGAAAATTTCATATCATTATTTTCTATCTTCTATTCAAAAAATTAGGCGGAATGCTTGGATAACACGTAGAATACAAATTAGGGTTGGAAACAAAATCGAAAGCGGTTGAAACTCATGCAATAGTTAGCGCATTGTCTGGTGATTAACCTAAGTATGTAAGTCTGCTCGTCAATATTTGAACCTCGTGAACGTCACGGTAGGACTCGAACCTCATGGAACAGTGCTGTTAAAATGAAAGAAAACATATCAACGAACGGGCCTGTCTGTACTAATTTTTTTTTCAGAGAAATATTGAGCAATGACAAAGAGATGATTTGTGCAGTAGCAAAATTATTATTGTCAAATGAATTCTCGGCGAATCGTTTTCCTTACAATATGACAATGATACATTCGTTATTTTCGTTTGATAACCGTTCGGCATCCAAAGTAACTAAAATCACCAAAAAAATTGATTCAGTTTTACCGAGATTTATAGCTCTTGCTTCTTTACTTATTCGCTTTAACTGAATACTATTATTTACTTACTCAGTAATTATCTTATTATTCACCTAGTATTTTCTTATTGTTTAAATTTGAAAAGCCAGATCAAAAAAATGGTGAGCAGGCGTTTTTATTTAATAGCGAGAAATATGTTAACTCTGCCTGCACCACGACTCATTCCAGGTTATAGCGCGAGAAATTGCCCAGATGCTCGCAGCTAAAGAAGAATATTTGCGTATATCGAGAGCATTCCTCCGGGAATTTGTTCGATCGTTGTTACGAATGGATTTCGATTTTGCTCTTTTCACTTCCCATTTATTCAACGCCGCAACTGAGGATTTCACAGCCTTTGCTACCCCTGTAGGTTACTTTCTGTTTTTTCATTTTGTGGCATTACTTATTTGACTTTTTACGTGCATTTCACATTTGTCTTCTAATATTTTTACTAATTATGAAATGCATCGAAAGTGAATTACATGGAACAATTTTCTTTTTGTAAATTATATATTTGGCTTTTTTCTCAAATATCATAAGCATCTAATTACAGGCTTTCTTTTTTAAATCGTTGATTGACTTCTGTGTGATGCTACCATTTTTGGCAATAACACCTACCATTAGAGAAGCATCTCAACATCGACGTAGTGCTAATGGCAGTTTGGCTCAAAATCATATTGATGCTTTGCAGAAGTATGCATGTTTTTATTATTCTTTTCCACTATAACTTTTCATCTACATTTTTCCGTATAAAAAGGATATTGGCCATTCTTTTCATTTTTTCAGGTTTGTACAGCGCCAGATTATTGATTTCATAGAAGGCAAAAAAAGTTGTTAGTAAAGACGATATATATATAAGAGCTTTCCTCTGTTTTAAATTAATTACATTTTTGCTTTTAGGTTTTATGCAGATTTAAGAAATTTTTTCGAAATCTGTACTTGTTTTTTCCGCAAACATTATGAATTCTGCACTGATAATCGGTTATTTGTGTATTCGTACTATCGAGTCCTTTATTTGGCTCCGGTTAGTATTTTGAATTTTTTTGTTATTTTTTTCAAGTGTACTCTCACTGTAATATTTATTTGAACTAGATCTGAATTAATCTTGTTCTGTTTCCATGTTCTTATCGTTTCCCATAAAAATACATACGGGAACCGATCCAACAACATCATATTATACTCAAATCGATTATCGCATATTTGTTTCTTAGAATGTATGATTATGTCAGGCATGACAGAATAAAATTAACTAAATGACATACATGCATATGAAACAGCATGCAGTATGCTGCTTTTTCTAGCATGCATCTGCTCAACTGAACGTTCGGATACTGTTTGATCTGCTAATGCTAATATCATTCTAAACATTGAATTTTTAAATAGCAGTGGTACTGAATGTTTAGAATGGCATTAGCAGATTTTCTTGTTTCTTATAATATCTTTTTCTAAGAAGGAAATTTATCCATTGATCGGTTTTCGTAACAAATATTTGGATGATACAGGCTGAATATTACGCTAGTGTCGATCAGTGGCCAATTGAAGCGGATGTAATGCAATATATGCGTGTTATTTCCGATGTTCCTATCAGTGAACAGTTACTATGCACTATATTAGAGGCTGGGTCTGATCCCTCAGTTCCAATTGATGCTGCAGATACGGTAGATGTTATTGAGAATCTCACAAAACGAGCTTCTTTGTCTTCCACATTAACAGGTCATCTTGTTCTCGTCATGCCATTAAATTCGATTTAGATACCCTAGGACAAGGGGTAGCAATAACTGTTACTTTTTGCCAGTTAGCATTGCTAACTGGTAAAAATGAGCTAACTGGCAAAAATTTATCATAATATATATATATATATATATATATGTATACGTTACCGACTAAGTTCACGTAGTTTAAATTATATGATGCCATAATGATTATACAGTTCTGATTGGTGAGCTTAAGTGACAGATGTTTGCTAGAAGGATAGAATAGTGTGGTAATTCTTGATAATTGTAGAGAATCAGTGCAGTACATATTTCCTATAATTCTGTTTGACGGATATTAACATACCTAGTGACTTCATTGAAGCTACCTAATTTTTTTTGCAAATTAACTTATCAGTTGTAGGTGGTAGTATGGTTCCAGTCAGCAGTTGTACTCTATTGGAAAATCTATTCAAAATAACGGAATACAGACCACCGCCAACTTTCAATATTCAGGAGTGAATATTACTTTGTAAAATTTTCTACACACGAACTTGAAGGTTTTCATCTCTACCTTTTCGTTTTTCAGTGAAGATCTTCCAACGT